TACAGATAAGCAAACAATATATAAAATTAATGTTCTACAAAATTATAAACCTTTGCCTTTGTAAAGAATAAAGGAGTCTAAAATGTGTAGTTGCAAGCATTCACACTTGATTAATTTGACCAAAGATTTGTATTCTTCTTCTTCTGTGGCTCTTAAAATTTCTTGTCAAGCAGATTGTCAGTCTTAGTTGCTCACTGTGCAGCCTTCTTGATGCTTAACCTATCCTGTGATCTGCAAAAGATACTCCCTACTTTGTGTTGTGATTCACATCGTATTAGTGTTTCACTACGAAACCAGCATTTTGCTGTTTCTTCCATATGGGCTGAGGCAGCTCTTCAACTAGTGTAAACCGTTACAGCTCAAGCAAAGCTGGAAGACCTTTCTCAGTAAGCCTACTTACTTTAAACAGAGATCAGTTTTATGTAGCAAGTTTAACTAGCATCACATATACTGACCTGCATGTTTGCTTTTACAAACAAGTAACAGAAAATGAGAGTCAATTTCCTTTTTCTTTTAAAATCATAGTTAAAAGGTTTTTTATAAAGCAATATAATCTGTCTTGCTACGCATAGCTTATTTAATTTTCCAGCAAATATCTCCTTAGAAGCTCATTCAAAAGGATAATTCTAATATTTTCAAGGTACTTCAAATGATCAAACTTTAATCAGTAGTTTTATCCTGAACCTCTTAGGTCGGAGAAAATTCAGAGCAGAGCAGACCTTGTTCGTTGTGCTGGTTCCCCGGAACCTGGCTGGTTGGTTGGCTGCTGCGTTGAGCTGGCTGGTGTGTGCAAATGCCCGCTTCCTGGCAGACGTTCAGATCTGGTAAGATTTTTGTGATTGTTACCCAGAGGGGAAGACACAAGTGTTTTGAACCCATAAGGACTTCAATTTTATTTTGGAAACGTGAGGGTTGAACGCTACAAAAGCTGAGAGAGAGTCCTTTATGGGCACAAATTGCACACATGATATGAAAACCCAGTACCTTTTCCTTTAAATACATGGCTGTCAAGGTATCAATCTTACATTAACAGGATTTTTATCTTCCTCAAACTTGCTGCTATATACACCAGGATAAGCCATTGTACAGTATGAATGAATATCACATATTTAAATAATCAATCAAATTTTTCTTTTTTTTTTGGTGGATATTCATCAAGACAATATTGTTTCCAAGTCTTACATCAAAGGAAACGATAATCCTCCGCCATTCTTTGTGATTTTTGAGATGGTGCTTCATGTAGAACTGTAGAAGGAAAATGTACCCTGGACAGCTTTCCATTCCAGTAATTTCATTAATGATCAAATGTTTTTAAGTGGCATGCAGTACCTTGAAGGATTGCAGCCAATATATAGTTGCCAGTAGGTCAGTCCTAAGGACTGAACCTAGTATATAATGTACAATTAACCTCCGTTGTCATCAAAACATACAATGGCAGTTCAAAACTCATTGGCATTGGTTTTAGTTATAGATGAATAGAGAGCCTGCATCACAATTATATAAGCTGTCTTCTTTTATCCCTAGTTTTATTATATTTATATTTCATGTAATTTGTTCCAACTGTGAATGTTTCAGATACTGAAAGAGTTACTGCCCTTAAAGCATTTTATTGTATAGGGTTCAAAGTGGCAACGATGAGAAATGAACCAGCCTGTCTTCACATGGCTTTGAAATGCTGTATTGCAAAATAGAGTGCTGCACCCTGTGTCTGCCTAAAACATGGTCTCAACTAAACTTCTACTAAAACAGTTTCATCTGTTTAAAAGTATGCTTATTTTTGACTACACATATAATTTAGGGTTTTTTTAAGTTTCACTAAAAAACCACTGGTCCATTGAAAATAAGATGACTTACATTACTAGAAGGCAGGAACCCTATTTACTTACTACAAAATACTGGTTTAAGGCTACCGTTGAGATCAAGTTACTTCAACTTGGTTTCTAAGGAAACTAAAATCTACACACTGATAACCATACATCAATAAAAAAGCAAAAAAAACCCCAAACCCAAAACACCCTAGTATTTCTCCTTAGTGGGCTTATATAGAGAGCAGTTTCAAAATAGTATTTTATTATAACTCAAATTAAAAAATACATTAGGTCATTCTGTTCACATTTTGTCATATAAAAAGTGAACATAAGCTGTTAAAAGAAAAAAAAAAGACTTCAGATAATCTCCACAGCCTCATTCCTTTACACAATTATTTTCATTAGGTAATCTTTTTACACTGGGAAAGGATTCTTTAGCTGGAAAACACTTTATAAAGAATCAAACGTTTTGTTTGTATACCACATATAGCCTGGATATTTGAAAACTTCCTGTCCTTAATTGCCTATGCAAAATGATTCATGGTGCAAATTGGTATTCACAAGTTGTTATGAGCATTAATTTATATTTTTTCCTTTGTATGGGCATCTAAAGATTAGATTTATAGGTAGTGCTGAAATGCATTTTATTTTGTTTTGAAATCAAGATTGCAACATACTTTATATTCACATTCTGTATGGATTTCAAACTATTGTCATTGTGATGATGGTTTGGGTGTTTTGTGGGAGGAGGGTTGTATCTCAGAGTATTGGTTTGGTTAAATACAATACATGGACAAAAGACAAAGTAAATTTTAAGGAGTTTTATGAAAACCAGTATTTTTCCAAGCGTTAAAAACAGCATATGAAAATCTATAGGGCTAAGTTCTTATGTGGGGCTTTTTTAACCTATCTTTAATGGGAAGAAATTGGAGCAGAATACAAAAAAACAGCGATTTTCTCCTTGAAAATGGTTTTGATACTGTCAAAATAAACTTTTCATTAGAAGATGAAAATGTCATTTTCTTCAACAGCTGTGTTTGGATTAAAGTCTGAAATTTCAATTTTGTCAAGAAGGCAATTTTTTGTGAGGAGAAAAGAAAAAAAACCCAACATTTTGACTGACTATAATATATAATATATGCAGGATATATATATAGGTACACATGCAGGAATACAGAGCCAGCATCTCCGCTGGTGTAAAACATCTAAGTGTCTCTGAAGTCACAACTTGCCTAACTAACATCAGCTGTGAATCTCACCTAAGAAAGAAATTTTTGCTTATCTCATATTCACCTCTCTGTGGAATGCTGGAGCCAGCTTCTGAATGACGTGATTCTGATAGAAAAGGCATAAATATAGTAGTGCCGGGAACTACAGAGTTAACCTTCTGAACCCCAGAACGCGTCAGTGGCAAGAAACAGAGGTATGACAGTAACGTTACTTACAGTCTGAAATACTGTTGAAGGAAAAGTCAAGCTTGTCTGTAAGAAGGCTACTAAAATTCTTTTCAGGTCTTGAGAAAAATTGTGTTTGCAATGTAATTCTGTAAGACTACTTAAGACTAAGACCACTTAAAATTATAATGAATTTTCCTGGTTTCAGGGTAGAGCCTTCAATGTCCTGGTTACTGACCAACATGGTACTTTGATTTGAGTAAGCAGTTCCAGAGATGTTTCTTCTAGGTGGTTACAGGTTTACTTCTAAAGCTTTTAACAAATATGTATAGAAAAGATGCTTCTACAGCACAGTAATAGTAAATGCGGCATTTTCAGGCAAGCACACCAAATTCAACTATGCTGATGACTCTGAACTTCCATGTTAATAAGAAAGCTCCCTGTTGATGTTTATTGGTACCCAAATTTGTAAAGCTGCACCTTAACGTGTTTTAGTATATAACTGCACATTTCTACACAGCAGCCTTTCAGAATTATACTGAACAATGCTATTAAGCAGTACTACACAAGAAATGTAGTGAACTATTTCAGAACCTAACTTGATTCATTTTAATTTCCTAGTTACATTGGAGAATATACCATTTTGCCAAGTGCAACTCACACTTCTATATTTTACTTTCTTTGGTATGCTCTGGGCTTTTTACAGTTGTTTTTAAAACTCCCATTAAAGTGTATCCTTCAGTAAGGACTGTAGAATTTAAAGATGAAGAGTCTCATCTGACAGGGAGCAGCTACTCTTGTTTTCCAGTGCTTTCTTCAGACTGTTTCAAGTGATGGAATCTTACAATTTGTCTTAGAGAACTTTCACTATGGTATGTCTAATTAAATGGGGGGGAACAAAGAAAATCTGTGCTTATAAGTATGTAACTTCAGGTGGATGGAGTTAAACAATATATGTAAGATTTGGATAGCTCCCCCACTAAGCTACCAGAAAATATATTTATCGATGCCTGATTCTTTTTATGCTGATCTTTATAAAGTACAACACTTGCTTCTAGTAAAGATTTCGTTCCAAAGAAGAAATTACTTGTGGTTAAGGAAGTCTTTGCTTACAGCATTCAGAGGTGCGCTTCTTGCACTCTGACTTACCAAATTCAGAGCAATCCCATTGACTTCACTGGTTTTACAAAAGATTTGCGTGCTTCATCAAAGATCAGAATCAGGACTAAAGACTTCTTGCCCTACAGACCTATATTCTTCATCTTTCCTGAGTTACAGAACCACCTCTACTCTGTTGCGAAGCTCAAAAGTAGCAGTGATTCTCCTTCGGTATCTGATTTGCTTATCTGAATTAAAAGTGGAGATACTTCAGGCAAGAAATTGTCAATGCCTCTTCGGAGCATTTAGATACTGAAATCTTTGAAAAACTTCTGCTACACGTTGCTTAGAATGGTATAGGATTTAACTATGGGAATGACAGATCTCAGCGTTAAGCCCATTTTTTTGTTCTGCTTTTGTGTGGAAAGGCAAACTGAAGACGCAACTGGTCTGGTTGAGGAGTTCTGAATCCTCTTTTGTTAATTTTGTTCTCTCAAATGCGAAACATCACTCCCTCTCCCTGCAAGGTGCCCAAGGCAGATGGCCATCCTTCCTGTCTGAATGGTGACGGCCTTTCTCCAGGCTGGCAAGAATGTTGTTCCATAGGACCATCCAGTCAAGGAGGACATGAGAAGGGACCTTCCACCATTCTCTTCTAAGACAAAGCTTAGCAAGTAACTACAACAGAATGCAAGTTTGGTCAATTTAAGAATTCAGCAGAGAGGCTTCTACTGTACCTAGCGGATCGGAACTTGAGCTCATGGTAACATTGCACAAAGCTGTGATAAATGAAAGTGATCGGCAAGGCTAATAAAACGATGCCACTAACCACACAAATTCCTCCAAGAATCCTTCCTGGTACAGTGATGGGACACATGTCACCATAACCAACTGTGGTCATTGAGATGATCACCCACCAACAAGCAGCAGGAATGCTGGCATAATCCTTATTCTTTGTTCCCAAGTCCAGCCCATTTTCAAGAAGCTGGGAAAGTGCACTGAAAATTGCCATAGCAACACAGATAAAGACAAGTAGCATCACCATCTCTCTGTAACAGCGCTTCAGAGTCAGACCAAGTGTTTGAAGGCCAATGAAATGACGAGCCAGTTTAATCACCCAAAAAATCCTCATCATTCTTAAGACCCTCAAGGTGACTCCAGCCCTCTGAAGCTGCGAATTTTCCCCTGTGAAGACCGTCATTAGAACAGAGATGTAGTAAGGAGTGATTGCCAGTAAATCAATGATGTTGAGAGGTCTTCTGACAAACTCACACTTGTTTTTGGAGACGATGAACCTCACAATGCACTCTGCAGTGAACCAGCCTATGCAGATAGCTTCAATTATCCTGTCAAAAGAAACAAAGTACAGTACTTATGTTCTGTGCAAAAGCTTCAGTGGATGTTTGGTTTGTTCACAGATATTACCAAATTGACACTCAGACCTTCACGAACGACAAACAGAAACCCACGTTATTCTTACCCTACGCATGTAGCACCAGATTTCAGCAATTAACCTGAGGATCTAGTGAGGAGTTTAAACTGATCATTGCTAAGAACTCTCTCACTGATCATTTTCTTTGAATTACAGATTGTTACTTGTCCTAATACTGGGCAAATATGCCTACAAAAAAGTGGAACCCTATGGGAAATGGTATAACATTATCTAGAACACCTTTTTTGTTGTTGTTGGTTAGGTTTGGGGGGATTTTGTTCTTTGTTTTTTTGGTTTGTTTTAAATATGTGAGGCCTGATCCACTTGGGGATGCCAAAGACTGTGGATCAGTGAACTGGCTGGTTATGAACAGCAATGTATAGAACCAGACTGCTACATGAAAATGAAAGTGAAGGTGGAGTAGGCAGAAATCAACTTTTGCATTGGATAATTCATGCAGATTGCCTCTTCAGGAACCAACCTAAACCCGTCTGTCTGATTTGCATCCCAAACAGGAGCTTACCTAGAACTATGTTCAGAACTTCCTATGTATTGCCACTGAACACAGATGGTATTTTATTTTTCACCATTGGGCACACAAAGTAATAAGCTTGTGTCTCCCCATTTACTGCTATGCTGTGCAGTACTGAATTTTTTTCTTGTGTTTTAAACATAACTCCACCTAAAGTGTGTTGCAGCAAAAATGTCAAGGTTACCAAAGCAATAGGCAAGATCATCTTCTTGCCAAATACAAATAATGGTCTTAAGAAAAGAAATCCTGGAAGGTGATTTTCAGTATGTTCTTAAATATTTTCAAGTCCTAGTGCAGTGAATGAGACTTGAGAACATCTCAACTTGAAACCTTGGAAGATAGAAACAGAAGATGAAAATATTGCTCTAAAATTATTTAATAACTGTTATGCATGTAGTTTCAAATCTCCCATCTGAAAATAACCCTTTTCTTAAGAATTCAGACTGTGCTCACTTGTTTAGTACAGGTGGGAATGGGAGCTAATCTTTCCCTCTTGCCTTTATCTTTTTTTTCACCAACAGTTTGCAGAAAAAGCCAATCCCCAGTGCCTTCTCGTACCACCAGGTCTGAAACCAAACTGACGTGAGATTGGAGATTTGAAAATACTACATACAAGCAGAAGGCTTTTTGCTACTGCAGGGATCCTAACAAGGTAGTGTCTGTAGAAACGTAATATTCTGCAAATAATAATCTGGCTGTCATTTCAAACCTAAAAATTTCTTTCCTAACGCATCTGCACATTTGTACCAGTTCTGAAATCTATTGTTATTATTAAGACAATAGCCTGTTAGAAAGACAATATCCTTCTGTAACTGCTGTAATTATTCTACTAGACTCTATAAACTAACTTTTATAACAGTTTCATACACTAAAGTTTTATTTAATTTTTATTCATTTTATTCATTCATTCACTTTAGTTTTATGCTAAAAAAATGGAGGAAACCGTAGTGGTCCTTTGATGTAAAGTCATGAGGTTCACTGTAACTCCAGCCCCAGCAAATTTAAATGAACATAAATTAATGACTTATAATTATTCACATAAAATCAGACCTTGTTTTTCTTGTTTCAAGAATAACAATGAAAGTTTTGTAAGCAAGTGGCCTTTCTTCATAAAGGGCCTATAAAACACTTGTTCATCTTAGCACCTCTTGATAGAAAGACCTGCGGATTTCAAAAAATAGTGTGCTCTTAAGAATTATGTGCTCTCTTAAAAATTAAGCTTTTAAAAATACTAGTGCTTCTTTTAATAGTGACAGTGAGTGGTAACTACCTCAGACGGAGATTTAATTTCGTTTAAAAAATGCTCAGATCTTCTAAATAGAAGTCATGTACAGAATATATGATAGTTATTGTATGAATGGGGATTATCGTTCCTTTATGTTGAAAAAAACCATTGAGAAAAAATGTTACTAAGTTCTCGTAAATCCTTTTTACACATAATGAGGAAATACCCAAGACTTTCCCTAGGAAAATCAGTCAAACAGCAAGATCGTGGTAATGGATGCACTGATAAAGTCTGAATGTACTTAATATACTGGCTAGTTGAGATCTCATATAGTGATTAAAAGAAAAATTGTATCTGGATAGAAAGTTGGAGCCAGGAATATTCAACAATTCCAACAGACTCTACTTCATTACATTTTCAGATTTCTCTGGTAGTGCTGCCTGTATCCTATGACATGGGGCATTTAAATGAAAAAGCAATTTGTAATTTTACAATTTAAAGCTTTTTTACTCAGTATTTCCTCCTGATGCCCTGATAATGTTGGAGATGTGATTTTTCCATTTTGTCACAAATTAGGCAGGTTATCTCTGAGTTGAGCTGTAAGGAAGTTGGGTCCTGATCGTTGTGATTCAGTAGAAATCTTCTTTACAAATCAACATTGATTCAGTGGTCCAGTATAACTTTGGGGAATAGTTGTGCAAGTAAAAATTCATGAAATATGATCAATCCATTGTTTTACTCTGGCAGTTCCTATCACAATTGATACTGTAAATCAGTTATACTTACGCAGGGAGGACTGGAGAGCCTTTTATTGTAGAACAGACTTGAAGAGAGCTAAGGAACATCACTGATGCAAAAATGACAAAGCAAGATCAAGACAGTGGGCGACGCATTACCACCACGCTGTTACATATTGTGCTTCCCTTTCTCCGTTCTACATCTATCCTTCATTCTCATCAGTTATAAGCATCCTGGCTAGCGAGAAGATGAAGAAGGGTAGTGACCCTTATTTTTTCCTTTCCTCTCCTTACTTCTTAGCCACCAGTGAAATACTTTTCATTCATCCTCTCGTCACTCCTTTTTGCCTGTGTAGATG